CTTCTCTGCAATTTCTAGGGTTTATTGAAGAGATCCCGACCCGATCTTCTCCGCTACACCACCCATTTCCCACCGTCGTGATGTTCCTCGATAGCGCCCTGGTTTCTTAGAGCCCGAGTCCGCCTTGGACAAACCCTGCAAGAAGATCTTTCTGCCATTGATTTCTTCATCTCAGCTAGAGCAAATCTTGGGTTTTCTCCATTTTTTGGTTTCTAGATCTGAGAGTTGCTTTGTTACTAGGATTTTACAAGGAAGAAGAAGTGAGAAGGGAAGAAGGAAGGAGGAGAGAAGGTAGGTTGCTTTGTTTCGGTTTTTTTTTTCTTTTTTTTTTCTTTTTTTGAACCCCTTCTCAAAAAAAAAAAAAAAAATCCACGTGGACCCTTAAAGACACGTGGTGCCCAGTCATTGTCCACATAGGCACCACGTCATCAGTTAACGGTAAATTTAACAGTTTGACTAACGGATGTATGAGACTATTCCAAAATTAACACTTTAGGTATGACTCTGAGATGAAAAAAACTTGATGTACTAAATGTTGAAAACTACGAAACATGAGAGTAGTAAATTGATATTTACCTCAATTTTTTGGGCTTATTTATGGCTATAGCACTTACTGGCTTATTTGAAAGTACTTTTAAAATGACCAAAAGCGTTTTTAGATAAAATGATTTTGGTACTTAAAGTGTTTCATGTAAGAAACATCAGTTATGTGCTTTTTGCATGAAGCAATAAAATGATTTTTTATGGTTAATTGCATTTTTATTTTTATTAGGATTGATTTCAAAAGTAATTTCACCAAAAGAGTTTTCAGCTATTTTAAAACACTTCCAAACAAGCTCATATTCTTTACTAAATTTTACTCAACAAAATCCAACAACATCGGGCTTCGAACCACTCAACAGAACCAAAATACCAAGCGGGATTCTAGGCCACTTAACGAAATCCAAACCAGGATATGATTTCGAACCACTCAACAGAATCGCAGAGTAAAAGGGATTCTGAACCTCCCAACGGAATCCGAGTGGATAGCATTCTAAACCACTTAACGGAATCGCGGAGTATAATGGATATCGAACCACTCAATAAAATTAAAATTCAAGGCACGATTCCTGACCACTTAACAGAATCCAGACAGAGCAGGGAACTGGACCACTCAACGGAACCCAGCGGAAGTCTAAGGAACATAACTATGGCTCGAAGAAACAAAACATGAATCAAGTGTTCAATTACAAAGGACTCAACGAAATGAAACAAAGCACATGCACTGAATTTAGAACGGCTCAACGAAGCGAGAAATGAAACAATGAAACTGGATATGAAACAAGCTCCGAAGCAACAAACCACATGGCAATAGGTTAACGTTCCACTACTAGCCCTTACATTTCATCGCATCATACCAATCATGCAAATCAAACCACATATCAAATATGCACGTCAATCACATTTCACAAATGTTTTCAATACACAGTCAAATCACATTTAATAAAATCAAGTGATAACCACAAAGAATGCTAAATACGATAGCATGTAGTAACCGTATCACATATATTCAAGCCACTTACTAACCAATATAGGCCCACTAGACTTCATTTAATCTCATGTAGTACTAATTTTAGTATTTAAAACGATTCAAGACATGTTGACCAAAAGTCAACTCTCAATCAACAATGGGGTCCACAACCCTAGGTAATTTGATCTGGAAGATCCACACATCTAATTTTAGATCCATAACTTTCTAAGGTCCTCATTATGCTCATAGAACAACATACTAAAATTGCATTGCAATCCGACAGTCGGATCTCTGCCAATCACAAATTCAAGTGGCGGTCAACGTTTGGTTTTAGAAACTTAGAAATTCAATTTGGGAAGATCTGTACGTCAGATTCCCGATCCGTCAGTTTCTAATATCCTCAAATATTACGTTCTATGGGGATATGGGCCTAGTTGCAGTGGCACTATACAATCCAACGGTCGGATCGTCGATTCAAATAATGATCAAGTGGCGTATTATAATAAAAATGGGTTCAAACAATCAAATCACATCAAGTGGATATTGAATCTAAAATCAGGACATCTAATTTAGCTTAAAATAGCATCGTCGGCCCACTGGCCACGCACCGCCGCAGGTGGCAGTTTCTGGCGAATGGAAACCCAATTTGCCGCCTAACTCTAAAAACTACCAAATTTTACAGAAATGTATAACTCATAAAGGGGAAGAACTTTCATACCTAGGAAAAAGTCCAATTCGGGCGAAAAACCCCTCAAATCACCCTCGATCCATCGAAAACCCTTGAAATGGGTGCTCTCGATTCGATCTCAAAATGAACTTCGACTCCTCAACCACTGCTTGGGCTTTGTTCCTGAGGTTAGGGGAGTAGATTGGTGGTCGTAATGGATGGAGTTAACAACAGGATTGACGGATTCGTGAACCCGAGTCAAATTTCGTCAAATTTTGGGTGAAATTGGTAGAAGGAAAGTCGTCGAGCGTTTTTCAGGTGGTTAGATGCCGTGGTTCGCCAAAAAAACTAACGAAAAACTGCTGGAGGAGACAAAAGGGACCAAGTTGGGTCAGGAAAAGGGAAACGGGTCAAGGATCCTGTGCTTCTTCTCTCCCGTATTTCCCCTCTTTTCTTTCTTTTCTGATTGGTCCATTTCCCCCCTCTTCATTTCTCTCATTTTCTTTCCATCATAGCCACACACATGGCTTCATAGATCTTTGCTCTAGCAAATCTGGAGCCTTCCAGATAATGGTCAAATGACCATCTTGCCTTCAACTTTGTTCGTTTATAACTTCTTCGTTATAACTCCAAATAAGATTTCGTTTGCACTCACGTATTTGTATCAACAAGTACTATCCAAATATGTAAAGACGTATGTAAAATCACGAAAGGATCAAATACGTCCATAAAAAATCCCGTTTAGTCCATTAAGGGCGTTTTCGTCATTTTACTTATCGAAAAAATTATACGCCGCAAATACAAACGCGTCAAAACTAAGATTGCAAATACGAAATACGTAATTTTAAATAGTAAAATCCGGGGATGGGATTTCACACATTCTTTACTTGATTAGTCAGTTGATTCTCTCTATTGAAATAAGGGTACTTGTGTAATTTACTAGGATAGCCACACCACAACAGGTGGCTATGCCTCACTTGGTAACGCACTAAAAAAATTCTCTAATAAAATTATCTCCTTCTCTCAAATTGTTTTGCCTTACAACAGTTAACAATAAAATAAACCCAACGATATAGAAAACTGTTATTAGCACTTCAAAAATCTAGTTATGCACTCCTCGCAAGTGTATTTTTTTTTTCTAATTATAGAATGTTTGGAGTGCTAATAATAATTTCGTATAAAAATAGTCAATAATTTAAAAATAAAGGGAATAAATGAGATTAACCTAATTCCAATGACAATGAAAAAATTCGGGTTGGTGGTATGGTTTCCAAATGGGAATTTCGAGCACAATTGCTTGATTCCTGTTTGGCTAATCGGTTTTGTTGATTCGTTCTTGGTAATATGTGTTCGTAATTGGGGGGCAAATCGAGTAAGAAATATTCGTTCCTAGAGCAAATTTGAGATTCTTTCGACGACTAAAATTCAACAGTCATGATTACAATTTAGGGGTTTATGGATGTGGTTTTACTCGATCTTCCTATTGTAACCATGAGGAGGTTCAAATCCAATTGCGCGCGGGGCTCAAAACGGTAGCATGTTTTCTCGCCGATTCGAGTGTCCCCCACGGCCAATCGTTTCCTTCCTACTAATGAAGGAGTGTGGGGTGAGCTGGGAGGTGATGGGAGGAAGAGGAGTGGAGGACGGCTGACGGAGGAAAGCTAGTTAGACTGCACGGCTACTGTGCCGCCACTGCCGCGTCACATGTCTATGATGCTAAGTTTTCGGCCGCAGTGGCGGTGTTCCGATGCCATGAAAGTCGAAGTATCTCTAACACGTGGATTGGTAAGTCACGTGTAATGTGTTACTATACATTACACGTCCATGATGACCTCTTCCGCCTAAAGCACAGAGAAGTCGTCGGCGTAAAGGATAACACGATACATTTTGTCTCTAAATCATCAATTAATTCTTTTTTTCTTTGTGGCAAGACATTCTTCTAAGTGACTATAATTTACAACTTGGATGGATGAAAGAAGGCATACTTACTACCCTAATCCATCTCATTTCATAAATCATAATCCTCCACCGAAGATAAAACATTTTGTCGTAATAAACGGGCCCTAGCGTTCTCAAAGGCCTTGTTTGTTGTCTAGCACTGGAATGGATAGGACAAACTCTTTAGATTCAACGTATCTTGAATGACTTAGTGATACCAACTTCCAAACTGTGTCCAAATTGAGGGTAGGGGATGAATTAGTTGCGAAGAAAACTTCAAACCTAATCATGGTATGAGTTTTCTTCACGACTAATTAATCTTCTATTTTTAATAGGATACAATTTTGAGAATTGGTATCCGCTTCTTCACTCAAAATATATTCAAAGTGTCTTGGGAGTTGGTATCCAAGGATTTATCCAATCAATTTCATCCTTAGATACCAAACGTAATAAGACGATCGGTTGTCAATGCCTTGAGATTGCAAAGTTTGTGTCAAATTTTGACATGAAGGCTCCTCTAGGGGTGGAGAAGATTGACATGAGTGAAAAAAGTAGGTGGTTCACAAGTGGTAGATTAAACAAGAAGGGAATGATTTGATGGCAAAATTTTATTTCATGATTAAAACAAGAAGTTTCGAAACAAGCATTTGAAATTACTTGCAAGTGCTTTCAAAATAACTAAAAACATTTTAAAATCACCAAAAGCGCTTTTGACAATGTTTGGTAAAAAGAAAAAACAAATTAAGTGCTTATGCATTTAAAAATAAAAATTTATCTTAATACACCCCACATATTTTCCGATGATACCTTCACACCAAAATTTCTCCACTACCAAAATTTCTCTTATCAGAGAATCAAGCAAATTAAAGATCTACAGAACGAGGATGAAAAATAATCTTTTTTCCACATTTTGTGCTTTTAGTGGTTAGGATCTTGTTCTACAATGAAGGATGCGAGTAACTCTGAGAGCTTGAAGAAAAGCAATCTTAGAATACAAGTCTAAATTATGGGCCAACGGAAGAAACTTGATACAGTAACAAAAATTATAGGGAACAAATAGAAACATAACTTATCATATCAGCCTAGGCAACCAGTCATCACTACTGTGACGGAAACCTTTGTCTCCACCATGCCTGAGATGGCCTGCAGGAAGAAATCTACAGATACAGGGAATTTGCAAACATGATACCTCGCCGGAGGCTTTCGCTTGCTCCAGTGAATTTCTCTTCCAAAGCAACTTCTCCCACAGCCTGAGCAGCAGTACGCAACTGAAAATAAAGGCCAGTCAGTTAGAATCACTTGATAATTTAAGTGCTGCCTCAAGTGCTCAAGCAATTAATGTTTAGGGCACATTTCTCAGAACTAAAAATTAGTGGTTCAGAAATTTCCGTGCATATCTAATCCGTGTTCAGAACAAAAGACTACACCTACCGTAGGAGATTTTCAGCATGTTATACAAACATGGATAGGCTACACTCCCTTTTTCAGCGTTCGGAAAGCACTTTTCAAAATTGAATACCAGTTGTGCCATGAGAAGTTATATTTCATCATAACTCAAATCACAATAACTAAAAGTAAAAGCTAATAACATGTTGGGACATAAATTGACCAGGCCAGGTTAAGCCCAAAACGCTAGCCTAGCATTAAGGTCATTATAGCAAGGACGCGGACAGTAAACATGGATTTGCGTACTTTATTCTTACCTCTATGCTTATCAAATGACTATGACTGAATCTATTATACTACTACCAATCCTAAATGTTAATTTTCCTTGACTATCACAAGCGTTATATTGGGCGAATAACCTTCCGATGGTTCTGAACATAGTAAAAGAGGCCCTTGAATGATTGCAAAACCAACTTACGAGATATAATGTTCAACTTCCCAAACAATACCTGGTTCAAAAATTCATCAAGTCTTCTAGCAGCTCTGATGATACTACCCTCAAATATATCTGTCATTTGTGTAACCTCTGCGAAACTTGCACCCTGATGGAATATTTATTAGAAAAAAGAAATAGGGAAAGATTAGTCCAAAAAGTCATTGCTAAAACAATCCAAAAGGTTTTTTACATTCTTATTGGCTTGGAAAAATCCAAGGGCTACAAGATGAAACCTCTAACAAAAAAACATTAACAAAGTTGAACCCTCCAGACATTACAACGTCCAGTAAACCAACATACTACAGTAGGCAAACCCATACAGTGATTTACAAAACAAAAACAAAACAAAGATTTTGTCAAATGAGAGCAGTATGAGCAACAGACAAATAAATAACTTGTAGATGCGAAAACAAATTGGTAGAAATGAGATAATAGCAGGAAATTTTAAAACCATTGCATGAGCAAAGATGAAGAAAAAATCTGTCATGTTCTATCTTGTAAAACATTTCCACCTTTGGCAAATTATAGTTTCTATCACCCACATGCAACAAATTACACAAAAATATAACAAACTAACCTTTGACCAACAATAAATCACATCCATCAAGAATGGTCGCACTGTTGATTCCACGTACTCTTCAATGTTTACATCTAATTTGCATTCATGTTGTATCTGCAGTCATGTAGCAACAGTTACAGAATAGAAAAAATAAAAATTTGTACGTATGAACAGTGTGAAGCTAAAAATTATAAGACCTCTGCTATTCTTCTAGCACTCTCTTGGAGTTGTTGTAATGGTCTAGCAAGCTCCGTCCTCAATTGTATCTGCTCATTTGATTTATCTACTGGAATAAAACAACTTGCGATTGCCGCAATTTGATGATGATCCAAATCATTGAATGTACCTGATCACATATAGCATTTATACTTACAGAAAGCTGAACAGTATTGATGCGATGGCTGAAGAGCAAAGGCGTTCTAAATAAATAATATGACCAGTTTCACTGGCTCAGTGGGCTTGGCTAAGGCCAAAATCAGCTATATTAGCTTTCAGGAGTTCCTTATCTTATCAATCGAAATTTTATTGATAAAACCTTTTCAATTGTAGCCAATATCTTATTACCTAACTCCGTATATGAAATAATACTTATGAACGGAGGATTAAGGATAATTTTTTTTACTAAAATTGGAATTTGCAACAGAATTGATAATTCTACTTAGACTTATGGAATTTTGTATAGAATATCAAAACGAAAAGTGATTCAATTTCTACCATTATTATGTTATGATATTCTGTACTCCAATCGAATTGGATACCATCTTTCTACTGGTCTTGCATTGGCCAAATTCATCACAATAGTCTGTCTTGTAACAGGTCGTAAGTAATAACGTGAAAAGAGAAGTGCAAGATAACTACCATTAAACATCAGTTCAGTAACAAGGAGCTCGTCTCCTGTGTCTATCAAGCAGGCTGCCCGCCCCTTTAACTGGACAACACCCTCGGCATCAATGTGACCAAGCTTCTTCAAGACCCGTGAACGGTTCTTAAGTTCATCACGAAATTTTTGAAGCTGCAGAATCAATTATAGTTAAAGTTGAATATGCATATTCTTTTGCAAATTTCTTTACATGCAACATCAGAAGGTTGTAATACATGCAGCGTAACATTGACTCATCATCCCATACAAATCATGGTTCTACTTCTTGCAAACGTTAAAACAGTTTATGACAGAAGTATCAAGACGAGGCATACCTGGGACTCACGCATTTTGGACTTAAGTTGTTGAATTTCATGATCCACCTCTGCTTTCCTTTGAAAGCATTTAATCTGGTTCGCATCTTGAGACTGCAGCAAACCAAATAGTAAGCACAAAGGGTAATAGTGAGGTAAATTCCATCAAGAAAAGAAATTTTTCTCCAGACGGTAGAGTTCCTTAATAATTTGTTTTATCGAACACAGTATTTTAAACAAATGACAAACCTTATGCAGTGGATGTGCGTATAATTTCTGTTCAAGATCCTCTATTTGATTGACTAACTCAACAATTTCAGGATCTTCAATGCCCATATCCTAAAATCAAAATGAACTTTGAGAAAAACATAGGAAAAATAGGAAAGATGGTATTGTTGCAGATATCGATACAAATACATGGTTTAGTGAAAGGGATATAATCCTTTTTTTTTTTTTTAATGCAAGGAAATAGGGCCTTAAATAGAACAGATTGCTAAGTTGCAGACTTGCAGATTAAATCCTTACACCAGTGATATTTTAAAGAGTTACAACCAAAACATTACAGTTTGACAACAGAAAATTGTCGCAATAATATGGTTGAAAAAAGTCTTTGCCCCAATGTACCAAAGACAGTTGATCATTATTACCTTTACAGGATTCAGCTTTGGAAGACCTTGTGGAAAACGAGTTCCCAGCTCCTGAACTGCTAGAAGAATACTTTGCCTTGCCTCTAACGGCCGCAAATCAGAGGGAATAGATATTCTGAGTTTGCTTAGAGCAGAAATCAGGGGCAATTGTACAGGGACCTTAAAACAGATCGAAAGAAATATCAGAACCCCAGAGGACCAATTTAACTACTTGAAAAACTTAATGAACCACATCGAACTTTAAAATTCAGTTGCTTCAAGTGCATGAACTTACTACATGCATTTCACCCTTTTCTCCAGGGCGAGGAGGGCAAGGCTTTGGCTGTGAACTGTTCTCACTTGAACCAGGAGAACAGTGGAGCAAAGTATCCACTATATACCCACCAGCACGCGAGGACAGTGTGCCTAACCCGGATGAAGGCTTTTTTACCACATTAACTACAACTCCCCAGCCCCAATCTGTACCACCTTCCCTAATCTTGACCTGCGACAAGAAAAACACGTCCTGAGAACAGGCAAATACATGACTTACAACCCTTGTATTGGAAAATCAACATCTGCATTTCTAAGTTTAACAAGCAATCAAGATGACACAATCATTGGTATTAAGCGAGTTTATATACAATATAATCGAAGTTAGCATAGAAGCTTGAGGACAAGGCATAAAATGAAATATTAATATCAATAAATGATTAGGTAAGAGTTGTAAGACATCAGTGCGACAAGTAAAACAGTAAATATTTTCGTAGGGTGGTGCTATACACACACCCAATTTTACCTTCCAAACACCTTTCTCAATTTCCGGCCGTCGGATTGAACCAATTGAAGAGGATCAAAGGATAGAAATTAACAGGGGGTGTGTGGAAGGTAAAAAAGGGTGTTTGGATAGCACCACCCTTTTTCTCACTGTATCTAGCAGAATAGCACTACAACCAGAAACAAGTATCAAACAGAAATTAGAAGAAAAAACTTTAGACCGCATTTTCAGTTCCAATGCTCTTAAAGATCCACCTATACAAATTAAAACCAAATTTCAACTAAGAGACTACATTATCCAATTTAAATGTTATTAGAAATCAACAAGGATAAGTTTACAAAAAATTCCAAACAGCATGACCATTCTCAGCACATACCAGGCGGCCAGGAAGAAGAAAATACAGAACTCTTTCAGGCCTCGTTATCTCTGACATCATTTTCTTCTCAAGTTGAGCTATATCAAGTTTTATCTTATGATACTCAGCAACTTCAGCCTGCACATAAAACATTAAACTCTAAGCATGTAACAATAACTAGAAAAAACATATTTAAGATCAATGGGGAAAGACTACCTCTCCTGATGCATCAAGCAAAGCCGCTTCCTGCTCAAGCTTTGAAACCTTTTCCCCTATACCAGGCAAAGCCTAAATCATAGAGAAAGATCCGGAGTGGTTAGTCATTATGCACCAGATTCCGGTGCGGAACAAGTAAAATATGTGATTCAGTAGAAACCTTTTCATACTGAAATTGGTGGAATGAATTCTTTATCACGTGTTCAGCTGTGAATTGGCCTTCCGCACGGCTCAACAAATTCAAAATTGAGTAATAGCTGAGTCTGAAAGTGCTAACTAGAGGAGCTGGTTTACCCAAAACCATATCCTTTAGTGTGTTCATTTCCATCTGTAAAAAGTAACAAATTTCGAATTAATTTCATGACTTAAGATGGTAAATGGCTTTCTTGCTTGTTCAACATCACCTTGGGTTGTGATAGAATTCAAGCGATATAATCAAATATAAATAAAATAAAATAAAAGGGATCATTCTGTTTTACCCTTTATAAATATGAATTTACCTCTGAAAATATAAGACAATAAAACATAATAAAGCAAACAAACAGTCAAAACTCAAGGTGACTAAATGGAAGACCTCAATATGTGGAAGGACTTCCAATGGTTGATGTGTAATGAATAATGATAAATTCATCAATTTTGAATCTATACAGAAATTAGTGAGTGGCACTTGTACACTAAAGAGAGATGACTACTAGTAGCATCACCTGTTCATCAATCATTATGATACAAATACCCCGCTCATCTTTGCCACGACGCCCAGCCCTTCCACTCATCTAGAGCAATTAAGAAATAGTTAATAATCAGAAAAAGAAATAATCCACACACAAATATACAAACATGTGTCTTTTTCACTTATTATTTCTCTTAAAGAAAAGCAACAAAATCTTCACTTACCTGAATATACTCACCAGATCCGATATATCGATGACTATCACCATCCCACTTCTTAACAGCTGTGAAAACAACAGTTTTTGCTGGCATGTTTAAGCCCATTGCAAACTGTTCACAAAGTACAGATATTGAAAAGTTATTCCATCTTATCATCTAAGCTAGATAAATAAGGTACAGCTGTAAACTAAATATATGAAAAAGGAAACGAAACAGGAGAGAAAAGGTGTTTAAGAAATGTTCTTACTGTCTCAGTAGCAAAAAGGGCTTTTACAAGGCCTTCTTGGAAAAGAAGTTCTACCAGTTCCTTGATAACAGGTAGAAGGCCAGAATGATGAACGGCAATTCCTCGTTGAAGGAGTGGCAGCATTAACTCAATAGCAGGCAACTCCCTGTCTTCCTCGTTTAAGCAGAGTATTGCATTACGAAAAACCTGTTCAACAGCATCTTTTTCATCTTGGCTGTTAAAATCAAGCTTAGACATGGACATCGCATGTTGTTCACACTCTCTTCTACTGAAGCTGAAAATTATAACTGGCTGAAATTTCCGTTCCATAATCATCTGAAACTCAGGGCAGAAAAGCGTAACTAAATAAATAAATGAATGAACAAAGAAAGATAAGCACATGTGTGATGTCGATTAAATAAAGCACCAATGTTAGTGGATAAATATTAAATATAGAAGTATTTGCGCTAAGAGCCTTCAATGTGGGAAGCAGCCTTGTTTCTAACAATCCATGTGATGAACAGCCTCTAGGCAACTTGCCAAACAGGCAACTAAAGAAAACATTAGGATCTGAGATCATTTTATACTCTACTTTTCACTTTACTTTCTTTCTCTTTGTTTACATACGTATAACCTTTAGATGTCCTGCTCTCAGTACTGTAAACAGTGACCAAATCACTTTCTGGACAAGAATAATTATTCGACAAGAAAACTGCCATCCAGATTCTCAATGCTACCGCTAGTATTTTCATGAATCATCTTTGCCAAACATGGTCTAAACTTTCCATAAGTGAAAAAACACCATGCAATCATAGTACTAATAATAGGTAAAAAGATGAAATATTCATTTCATGGTGTTTTTAAAATATAAGAAAAACCACCTTTTGAAGGAAGAGCAAACCTTCAAGAAGAAAGAACGAAAGTTAAAATGAAGAGCACACCTTCACAATTTTGAATATGTCAGAACCCCCAGATGCAGTCCCACCTTTTGCAAGTCTCCCACTTGCCTTGTTATTCCTGTGACCATCACCCAATTTCTGCTTTGAGAAAGTATCATGTAGCTTCACAAAATTTTCCTCCCTGAATTGTTCATTCTCATCGACCACAAGATACAACCCGTTCCCACCCACTGGAAAAACGTAATGCTGCAGAGGAGTTGGTCGAAAATCTGTGTACACCACATGACAAGGCTGTTTGTGCAAATTACAAATCCACTCTGCAAACTCAGTCGCATTGGACATTGTGGCTGAAAGAAAAACCATTTTAACAGCAGGAGGCATAAATATAATACTCTCTTCCCAAACAACCCCTCTTTCACGATCCTTCATGTAGTGAATTTCATCGAAGATAACCCAGGCGACTTCCTTTAAAACCTCGGAACCCCTGTAAAGCATTCCCCTAAGGATCTCAGTTGTCATAACCAAACAACTAGCATTAGGTGAGAGTGTAACATCTCCAGTCATCAATCCAACATCTTCAAACTCCTGGCTGAGCTCTCTATATTTCTGATTGCTCAAAGCCTTCAATGGCGAAGTATATATAACCCTCTGCTTGTCTCTAAAAGCCATGGCAATTGCATACTCCGCGACTGCAGTCTTACCTGCTGAAGTATGGGCGGAGACTAAAACTGACTCTTTCCGTTCTAAGCATGCCACAGAAATCTGCTGAAATGGGTCAAGGGTAAATTGGTATGTCTTGGCCGCCTCGCCATTATACACAGGATTCGAAAGGGTTCCATAAACCGACTCATCCTTGGTCGAAGCATAGTCACTGGGAACTGCAACCTCATGCACACATGTTCGAGTCAAATGCCTTCGCTTCAGGGAAGATTCATCTGTGGGAGTTTCTGTGATCTCTGACGCTTCAGGTTCTTTTCGTTTCGCAGGTGTTGGAGATTCTTCCATCCCTAAAACTATTCCGCTTCCAAGCTAAACCAAACAAAATTCTCCTACTAATAATGTTGAGCTTTCCTTCTGCAACAAAAACACCAAACATGAATCAAAATGTCGTTTGTTCAACAGAAAAGCAATCTTCTTTTTCTTTACTGGAGGAAAATTAATAAAACCCAATACTTGCAGAATATAATCGTCACAAATATTCAAAATTACACAAAAAGCTTGATTTTTTAATTTTTATTTTTGAAAAGAACTACTTTTGGATTTCAGGTATGAACAACCATTGCACCTATGACCAGAGTCAGTTAGGTTCCCCAAAAAGATTCAAAGCATTTAAGTTAAACCCAAATTCTATGAAAACTGTGAGAAATTACAAGAAAATAGGGAGAGAGAGAGAGAGAGAGAGAGAGAGCAACCAATTCTGCTCTGAAATTGGCGAACCTGAATGCTGAAACGGAGATTTCCCAGTTAGCCAATGCCCTAGCTTGACATATAGTGTACGGTAATATAGGAGAACTGTTCAAATCAAAGTTAGGGTTTTATTGGAAGATCCAATTGTAGGCAATTAGGGTTTCACCTTCAGTTGCAGGTGGTATCCAAATAACAGCGCCTATTTTTTACGAAATAAAAAACAAAGTGTATTTTGCTTTAATAGTATTCATGTTGTAAGCAAGCATTTTAGGTTCGATTCACGTTAAATGCAAGTTTGAATCATATTTAGCCCCTTCTGTAAATAGAAATGGAACCAAACCATTTGGTTGCGGTTCGGTTTTATATGATTTAGGTTTTGATTTCAAAACTTTCATGCTGTTCGAAATCCAGAGGTTAAGCGTACTCTGGCAACTTTACGTAAGGCAGAGTTTGGTTTTTTGGGGGTGATAGTGGAAAAGTTGACAGATAAGTCACCCTTACTGCCACTCTACAGAACCGTACATGAGATTTTCGTACACTAAGGGTACGTTTTTTACACCGAACAATCTTTGACTGAACTAACTTCAAAGATTAAACTAGACTGGTTTAGACTAGATTAAACTAAACTGATTTAATGAAATGTTTGAATAGACAAAGAAGTAAGATTATAATATTATATTATTTTATCTATATCTATAATATTTTATTATTAATTTCTATTATTAATTGATCTTTTTCCTATTTTGTAGAACATCAGGTCAATCATCTTTCTCTCCATCTAACCTCTCATTTTTTTTTCTCCGCCGTCTCGCTCCCCTCTCCATCTAACCTCCAATCTTTTCCTCCCTTTGGTATCCAAGTTGCTTTGCTCTTTTTCTCTCTGCACACACAATTTGAATTAAAATCATAAAAAAGAGAGACTTGCCTCCCAAATTCTCGATTCCCCAAAAAAACCCAACTCCTCCCTCTCAAGCTTAGCATCACCAATTCAATGGCAATCATGATGAGTTTTCTTGTTCGTCTCCCTCTCTCTTCCCTTTGTTTTTCCGTTCAAGTCCCTCTCTCTCTTCCCTCTTCCTCTTTTCTCGTCCAACTCCCTGAGTGATAATCAGATTATAGGTGGTTACCAGATTCTAAGCTTTTAGGTCGAGAAGGTTGCGGTCACTGATGAAGGCAGCTTGAGACGGATTTGGGGAGACAAGAAGGCAGCAACATCTAGTCCTAGCTAATACCATTATTTTGGTTAGGATTAGCTAACGACAGGTAGCGAGGCCCAGAGTCGAGCGAGTCTGAGCTAGCGTCATTAAAGCTAAACATTTGCTGCTGTTGGTCCAGTCTAGTCCAGTAAGAGCTAAAATGTTAGACAAACACACCCTAAATACTTTATGCCATTAATACAACCTAATTGAAAAATAATTCATGATCACCACGCTAAAATTCAACTTCAAAATGCCTTATGATTTTGACAAAAAAAAAAAAAAACACAGAAGCCTTATGACCTTACTTTAGTAGTTCAAACAAACTTCAACATCGAAATGCTTTAGCATTAGCAGTACAACCCGAACAAATAAATTGTGCATACATTCAGCTAAAAGGTTTTGGTGCTTCAACTTTAAAGTCACTCTCTCCTTTCCTTTCCTTTTGCCACCTACTTTTCGAAGGTTGAGGAGACCTTTGAGCTTGTGAACGGGCTTGAGAACGCGATACTTGGAAGACTTTGGACGTTGTGAAAGTAACACCAATAGATGAGAAGCTACTGAATCTTGTGAACTAGAAGCTTGAGATTACCTTGGAGCTTCTTGTTGTGGTTGTGGATTTAGAGTAAGAGAGATTGGTCAAATCTACCCAATATAATTTGTAGTAGTTGTTATAAACTTTAAAAAGCCTACAAAAGCAACAAAACAAATTGAAAAAAAAGAAAAACACAAAGAAAGCCTACAATATAAATTACCTAATATTGGTATTTAATTATATATTTATTTAATTTTTGTAGTGTAGTTCAATTTTGGTTTTTCCATGTTGCAGTTTGGTTTCAAAACCGCAAAATCGAACCATTCGGTGCAGTTTGGTTTGGTGCATGTTTTGGTTTCAATTTTCCATTCCAAATGCCCACCCCATTATTAATTAGGGAAAAAAAAATTTTAAAATGGTAATTTCATACTCTCTTTATTTTTTACCGTTGGCTTAAATAAATCAAACGAAAACAATGAACTAAACTAAATAGAAGTTTGAGAACATAAAAAAAGGTGTCTATTTATCATTCTAAAAAAATAGTGTATACTAGCAAATATGCCGGCGCGATGCTACAGATTTTAAAACTGTATAAAACATGTTAAAAGTTTTAAATATATAACAATAGACAATACTATTTACATACATGTGAAAATCTATTTATAAGTTATAACTCTATTTACAATAGATAAGAAAATAGTTGTCCAAGGGTGAGGTTTAGAACGGTACTTAGAATAGTTTGGACAATGGGCAGTTCAACACTAATCAGCAGTAGAAGTTTCTTCTTCACTCATCGGCAGTTCAGAATTTCCTTCTTTTTTCTCACATGTGGTGTTTATATTTCACTGTTACAAATTAGGACATGGAAATTGTTAATGTAAATAAATGACAATTTTAGTAAAAATGAGAGATCAAAATATGAGTGTGATTTGAATTACAGATGATAACAATGGAATAAGTTGAATAGTATTGCGTTATCTAAGCAAAAAATATGCAAAACAACTGTCATAAAGAGCATGAACCGATCAACTAACAAATCAAAAAACAGAGACCAAAAACGAATGCTTCCCATTCAACACAAAAAGTCTGCTAAAAGAAAATAACTTCTCATTGAAAAAACATTACAATAAAATTTTGGAAACCATTGCTTGTCATTCTTCAGGATCATCTTTACGATTTCTGGACATTTTTCATAAAAAATAGAAATATGAATCCAAACAGCATCTAGAAAAAAAATTAAGAGAAAAAAAAAAATCATCGTTTCAATCATTTTCTAGTCTTTCAATTGCGATTGTATAGAAAATATAACTAAAAATCTCAACTTTCTCAAAAAACTATCAGCATCTACTGTTGATTGCATGGCATCATATAAATGGAGGCATGGGAGGAGTAGAAGTTATCTAATTATGCTACTCATATTTTTTATAGATCGATCAATTGCAGACAAAATGTACCTTGCCCTGCTGTAGTGTTTACTCAGATCTTGACATAGGACCTTGCTTACATCCCTTGCTCTAACGGACCTTTTCTTTACCAAGTCAGTTAACTGCAATCATAATTATTTGTACAATACGGATAACCATTAATTATTTGTTTCATTGACGCCAAAAATATAGGAGTATTAAGCCAGATTGTTTTCTATGTCCAAGTAATCTGTCCAAAATAAATACATTGGTTAGGCTTCTAAATCATGAGAGCCTTAACTAGCTTATAAAATGCTCATTAGAGTTTCAAAAGACAAAATATTAAAATTACCGTGAAAGATAAGTATTGGGAAACAAAATTGGCATCTCAACCACAATAGGTCAAAAATTCCTTTGAATGTGCTTTAGCTTCTTGTTTACCTGAAAACACACATTCTTGGTTCAGAATATCATAATTTCATGAAATGGTTCGTCTTTGAATCAATAAGAAGAACTCCCTCTGTTTTATGAATGGTACATATAATGAACTCACAATATTAGATCTCAATTGATTTCAAACTTTTCTGCATTTTTCTACTATTTTAGGATCCATTTAGGCAACACTACTACGAAACCATTTACTAGCGTCGCTATGATAACCGCCAAAAAACGTATATTACTGTCGGATTTTAAGCAAAATCCGACAGAAAATAGATGCAGTGACGGATATAATAGGAAATCAATTTTCTGACAGAAAATACTCTAAAACCGACAGAAATTGTGTCGGATATAACCGACAGAAAATATATTAATAAAGAATAAATAAGAGCATTTCTGTCGGCTAAAACCGACAGAAAATACTAAAACCGCCAGGATTTCTGTCGGATTTAACCGACAGATAATTTGTCAATAAGAATAAATAAAACATTCTTGTCGGATAAAACCGACAGAAAATATATTAATAATAAAAAAAATATACGACCCATTATAAGTAGAACATTGCCACTGTTCTTATTGATCAAAGACAAAAATCATCCAAAAAACACAAATTGAATATCCATTGTTCTGTCAAACGAAAATTCCAGTCAAGTTCATACCATAAAACCTAGTTCAAATTCTGCAACAAATTTGGGAAAGAAATAACGACAATCCGGAAAGTTTAAATCTAATTCCTTTCAACAAGTAACAACTTCCTTAAATGCCAAAGATTGTTGCCTAATTGAGAACTTTCTTGGTCTCTCTCAGAATCCTTTCTCTCTATCAAAATTTTCTGCAAGCAAACACAACCTAGCAGAAAAAAGATATCAGCCCTTAATCTTTTGTGAGCAAACAAACACAACCTAGCAAAATTTTTTGATAATCAAACTCCAAAAAACAGAGCAAGCATCCAGATTGCGTTATCGCTTCCTAATCTATTTCAATTGCAAGAAACGTTTGGAATTGTGACAAAATTGGCCACGAAACCAAAATTAAAACCCTCAAAATCCAATAATTTTATAGAAATTTTACACAATTGAGAGAAGAAAAGCAAAAAGCCCTAACATCGGAATCAACAGATTTGAGAGAAACCCTAACAAAGAAGACGCAATAAACACACATGTATAAAGCTATAAAGCACAACTGGAATAGAAGGAAAGTAAGATTGAAAGAAGCATTAGGGAAGTAGACGTACGTGAAAGAGCACAAGTGAGAGCGCAATTGAACCAGAGCTCGGCCTTGCGTCTATCGTCTTCGCTCTCGTCCTTTATGAAGTCGAAGAAGCATGGAGCCGAGAACTTGTACATATCGTCGACGATCATCCCTGTCGCTGTCGGAGCCGGCGGGTTGGGTTCTTGGTTTGTCATTTCCTCGTTTTCGAAAACTTCTTGTTTGGGGTTGGGGATTTCAAATGAGGAATTGGAAAGATCTGGAAAATTAATGAAGAAATGAATAGAGAATAATGAATAAATGAAAGAGAGAGAGAGAGAGAGAGATAGAGATAGAGCGTCTAGTGGGTGTGTGTCACATCCCAGCCCGAGACGGATCACTTCTTGGCCCCACTCCACCACCATAACACGATATTGTCCGCTTTGGGTTTACCATTCCCTTACGGTTTTGTTTTTTGGGAACTCACGAGTAACTTCTGGGTCACTCATCATAGGATTGTTCTAGTCCCCTCTCGCTTAACTTCGGAGTTCCCATGGAACTCGAAGCCAGTGAGCTCCCAAAAGGCCTCGTGCTAGGTAGGTATGAGAATGTGCATTTAAGGATCACTCCCCTGGGCGATGTGGGATGTCACAGTGCGAGTCTAGCGGATTGGAGCATAAAACCAAGAAAAACATTTTTTTATAAATAAAAACTGACAGAAAATTTTCATTATTGTCGGTTATAATCGACAGAAAAAAAAATAGCAGCAAAAATCCCTAAAAATTCCCTCTCCCAAAATTTTGTTGTGATTTTAAAAAATAAAATAATAATTGTTTGGTTTAATAAATAAATAAATAATATGTATTTAAATATAATATGTTTTTAAAAATTAAATAAATAATTGTTTGGTTTAATAGATAATAACTCATGTAAAGTATGTAAGAAACAAAAAAATAATTGTACAATGAAAATATCATCACACAAACTAAATATTGTCTAACCAATACTTGAAAAACATAAATAAAAATTTAACGGAGATATGCATTCTACGAAACTAGTTTCCATGATTTAACCGTCAAACTTGTTTGTAGATACTATAAGATCACATATATAAAAAATCGCAAAAAAAAAAAAAAAACATTCAAAGATTAGGTAACTGAACAAAAGTTTTCGACGGTTATAAACGAAAAATCACAATTTAATGGTTATTTTTGCTTCGATTTTGATGATTGTTTTACAGCTACACTCCTCAACCCTATAAGAATGCAATGAACGAATTCGATCTTCAATTTAAAATATTTACACTAGTGGATACCACAAAATCTTATTTTATACTTGATGGGGAAGTATAACATTAACTCTAAGTGTTGGTTTAATCTATCGTTTTGATGCAATACGCATTCTATGAAATGTTTTTCAATGATCTAACCGTCAAAGTTGTTTGTATACACTCCAAGATCGTATACGTAAAAAATCGCAAAAAATAAACATTCAGAGATTAGGTAACGAAACAAAAGTTTTCGATGGTTATAAACGAAAAATCACAATTTAACAATTATTTTAGCTCCGATTTTGATGATTTTTTGTAGCTACACTCCTTGATCCTATAAGAATGCAATGAATGAATTCGATTTTCAATTTAAAATACTTACACTAGTGGATAAATCTTATTTTATACTTAATGGAAGTATAACATTAACTTTTAAGTGTTTGTTATATCTATCAATTTGATAAGATACGCATTATATGAAACTAGTTTCAACGATCCAACCGTCAAATATGTTTGTATATACTCCAAAAGAGCATGTGTAAATAATTGCAAAAAAAAAAAAAAATCACAATTTAACGGTTATTTTAGCTCCGATTTTAATGATTTTTTACAACTACACTCCTCGATCCTATAAGAATGCAATGAATAAATTTGATATTCAATTGAAAATATTGACACTAGTGAATACCACAAATTTTTATTTTATACTTAATGGAAGTATAACATTAACCCTTAAGTGTTTATTTAATCTACCGTTTTGACGCGATACACATTCTACGAAACTTCTTTCAATGATGTAACCGTCAAACTTGTTTGTACATACTCCAAGATCACATACGTAAAAAATCACAAAAAACAAACATTCAGAGATTAGGTAACAAAACAAAAGTTTTCGACGGTTATAAACGAAAAATCACAATTTAATGGTTATTTTTGCTTCGGTTTTGATGATTGTTTTACAGCTACACTCCTCGACCCTATAAGAATGCAATGAACGAATTCAATCTTCAATTTAAAATATTTACACTAGTGGATACCACAAAATCTTATTTTATACTTGATGGGGAAGTATAACATTAACTCTAAGTGTTGGTTTAATCTACCGTTTTGATGCAATACGCATTCTATGAAATGTTTTTCAAAGATCTAACCGTCAAAGTTGTTTGTATACACTCCAAGATCGTATACATAAAAAATCGCAAAAAACAAACATTCAGAGATTAGGTAACAGAACAAAAGTTTTCGATGGTTATAAACAAAAAAATCACAATTTAACGGTTATTTTAGCTCCGATTTTGATGATTTTTTGCAACTACACTCCTCAATCCCATAAGAATGCAATGAATGAATTCGATTTTCAATTTAAAATACTTACACTACTGGATAAATCTTATTTTATACTTAATGAAAGTATAACATTAACTTTTAAGTATTTGTTATATCTATCAATTTGATAAGATACGCATTATACGAAGCTATTTTCAACAATCCAACCATCAAATATGTTTGTATATACTCCAAGATAGCATGTGTAAAAAATCGCAAAAAAAAAAAAAGAAATCACAATTTAACGGAACTAGTTTCAACGATCCAACCATGAAATATGTTTGTATATACTCTGAGATAGTATGTGTAAAAAATCACAAAAAAAAAAAAATTAGAGGTTTTTCTGATGGCGGTCCAACTTTGTTCTTGCTGGTTATATCCGACAGGGCCATGAGTGAAAAAAAAAATTTAAGCATGTGTTTATTTATTTATTTTTAATCAATATAACATTTTAAAATAATAAAATCATACATGATAAAGTACATCAGATGTTCATGTGTGTTTATGTGCCAGACAATGTACTTTGTGACGCATTGAAAAAAATTGTTTGAATTTCTTTGTATCTTGTTGCTTGCCTGTGAGGGAGCATAATCCTTATTACACAAATGATTGAGCTTCAGATTGTAGTCTGTTGTTATTATTCTCTTAGAAAATTTATGGCTTGTGGGAATTGAGTTCATTAGACTCTAGGGTCATGAGTGAAAAAAAAAAAATTTAAAATGTGTTTATTTATTTATTTTTAATCAATATAACATTTTAAAATAATAAATTTTCATTTTTGTCAGTTATAATCGCCAGAATACTAAAATAATAACCACCAGAAAGTAAAATAATAAAATAGTCAGTTTTTATCGGTTATAACCGCCACCATTAACTTAAAAACCGCTAGAATCTGTCAAAAATATTAAAAAAAAAGCAGTATTTTTTTGATATCCGCCAGGAATTTATGTCGGATATAACCGACATGATTTTTCTAATACCGCCACTAATTAAATGATGTGTCGGATATAATTTATTTGACATGATTTTTCTAATATCTGCCACCATCATCCACCACCTAAAGCTAATATTGTAGTGGTGCAATCTCTTAGACCATTAGAGCAACTCCAGCGTTGGAGCCCTCCCCCCAGGCTATTCACTATTCAATTCACCTTATGAATAGTAATTGCCCTTAATGAACAGTAATAGCCATGGCAATAGCCTTTGCATCTCCACCGTTACACTTCAATAGCCTTGGCAATAGGCAATAAAATATTAGTATTTTTTTTATTTATAAAAAAATACAAAATAATTTTAATTGTAATTTCGGATAAGATTTTTAATCGTTCTCGTTGCGCCTCTCCACGTACTAAACGATTGGCTAAGTAATTTCCAACGACTGGACATCGATTCTTTGGTTCTTTTCCCACCAATTTTCTCAAGATAATTGGTATGAATAAGACTCCACATTTCTCGCAACTGCATCTCATTACCCGTAAGCGAACTATAAGTAACTTCAACCCAGCTAGTACACAACGCAACATCTTCAAGAAACGACCAATTCGTACCTGCATCAGTAGTCATTTTGTTGAAAAAAAATGGATTGAAACTTTGAGAGTAAGAAAGGAATGTGATTGAAAGTAGTTGAGAAAATATGAAATTGTGGTGTAAGGTAGATGATAATGAGAATGTATTTATAGAAAAGTAAAAACATTTTTTTTTTTTAAATTCAGATTTTTTTTTGAATTTCTTACAATCTTTTTAAAATTTTTATTCAACTAATTAATCTCTACCATTGGATATAAAAAAATTTGAATTCCAACACTCCAGATTGTGCCACGTGTCACAACGGTAACTTTTCTTAATTTGAAAACCATTTTTTCTTTTATTTTTTTATTTATAAAGCATATTAATATCCATCGTTGATCTCAGATTGAACGGTGGATATTAAATAAGATTTTTTTTTTTGATCGTTGAGATCGAACGGTCCAAGTTAAAGATCCATTGAGATCGAACGGACCGTGGGAAGCCACGTGGCTTCCCAATGGTAACTAAAAAGTCACTGTTTTTTTTTTATTTTGTGCCTGCGACATGCCCCCACGTGCGAGTGGGGTGCACGCGCCTGACAGAAAAAAAATTTAAAATGGCCTGACGCCATGCTGACGTCAGCGCTGGCGTCACATCCACTCGGGCTCTAGGGCTGGCAATTCTCCACGGGCCCGGAGCTCGGGCCTCCACCTCCACTCGGGCTCCCTCACGCTGGAGCCGGTCCATAGGGCATTGGGCCCCTTTTCTCTGGCCTGTCCCCCGAGCACCCAGCAACGCTGGAGTTGCTCTTAGTTTGTTTGCTTTGACAAAAATGAAAAATAGAAATCTCTTAGACCATAATAAAAATTTCACCCAATTTTTTTTCTTTCAATTTTAGCATTTAAAATTGAACAAAATCAAATGCAGGAATTTGGAAAAAAAAAAAACCTCCCAGATGCTATATTCGAATAACCCACCAGAAAATGATCAAGTTTGAAAGCGATTGAGACCGCCAGAGAAGATAGCGAGAGAGAGCAAAAGGACGGCAAAACCAGAGAACAGAAAATAATGGAAAGACAATTCCATAGAAAAGGA